CACACACACACACACACACACACACACACACACACACACACACACACACACACACCAGAAACTGAGCTTAACAGGAAAAAAAAACCCAAACCTTAGTGAGACTGTAACAAGTTGACTTTTGAGTTTAACCATGATCAAAGAAAGAAAAACAGAAAATGCAGGAAGGCAAAAAGAAACTAATATATAATACTGCCACTTAAAACTGCTATTATTAACATCTTGATGTTTACATGTTAATTTGTAAACGAAGTTAATTTTTTTTGCTTGTTTGTTTTTTTGAGACAGGGTCTCACTGTGTAGTTCAGACTGCTCTGGAACTCACTGTGTAGCCCAGGCTGGTCTCAAACTTGTAGTAATCCTCCTGCCTCAGCCTCCCGAGTGCTGGGATTACAGGTGTGTGAGACCACACCCGGCAAAACAAGGTTAATTTTTAAAGAGATATGTCAAATGAATTGATACAAGCCTTTAAACAGAACACTTCAGTTCATTAAACAAAAAAAATACAAATTAAATAGGACATATCATATCAAAAACTTCAAAAAAAACTTCAAAGTATCACAATTATTGTCCACTAAGTACTTAATTAACCAACAAACTCTTTTCCTTAGGAATATATAAAGGATCATAGATTCAAATCTAACTTAACAAAACCATGCTCAATACCTTTAAACAGTCCTAATAGTAGGGTAATAAAAATCATTCTTAATGCTTTTAAAAAAATAGTCCTGCGGGCCAGGGATTTAGCGCAGTGGTTCTGCCACCTGCCTTGCAAGCAGAAGGACCTGAGTTCATGCCCCGGTACCAAAAAAAAAAAAAAAAAAAAAAAAAAAAAAAAAAAAAAAAAAAAAAAAAAAGTCCTGCAAAAGTACACACACATGCACACACTTGATTTGATTGGTAGGAGGCAAGAAACACACATTGAATTTCCAGTGTGAACACTTTCCTCAAGATTATGATGAAGGCAGGTAAAATTCATTATGCTATATGGATCAGAGAAAGGAGGCAAACGCCAGTTTCTTAATTTCTTGAGTCAAATAGAAGACAAGAATTTTATCTTAGTGGACTAAGAAATAGATTAATATATGGCAAATCTTAACCAAATAATAAACCACACGGTAAAAGAAACACAATGGGATTAGAAGATTGGAAAGATGCGCCACCTTTAGCAATAAATTTCTCCCTTCTGTGCCATTCCTCTGTGCTCTGGTAAGCATCTAAAAAACCCCTTATTGAGCAAGTGGTACAGTTAAGTATGAGGAATACTTGCAGGGTCTGGGCACAGAGCGTGTCAGCTGTCACTAAGAGTACAAATCCTCAGCTGTTCCCCTTTTTTCCCCCCCTCTTGTCACATAGACCCATATATAGGTCAAGAGAGAAATTTAAAGAGATATTTATTCTTGCTAATGTACTAAATTACTTTAGGATTATAATTTCAGAAAGCCTATAAATTCTCCACAAATACTTCCTTTGTATTAACTAATAATCCTTAACATACATAAATAGTACCAACCATTTCAAAGTCTTCATGCTATAAATTGTGAATATATTACCTGACCAAATGCACAAAAAGTATTGACTAAGTAGGGAAGAAATCAGGAGATCATCTTCTTTGAAGTTTCAGACAGAATTATTCTGTACTGGGCTGGGGATTTAGCACAGTGGTTCTGGCGCCTGCCTCACAAGCACAAGGACCCAAATTTGATCCCCATTACAAAAAAAAAAAAAAAGAATTATTCTGTACTAAATTCTTTATTTTGTGCAAATAAACTTAATTTTAGAATACTTTTATCTTAACAAAAGGGTACTAAGAAAGTTAAGAAGGTCCCCATATATTTCACACCAAATTTCCTGTATCACTAGCACACCTGTCCTCACCAATAAAGCAATACTGAAATGTTTTTTTATCTCATATTGTTTTTATTACAGTCCTATCTATGACATAGCATTACACTTATTATCATTGCTTCTTTATATTCCTCTAGGCTATGATAGTTTCTGAGGCTTTTCTTGGTTTCAGTAACCTTGACAGAAATTATTGCCAGATATTTTGTAGACTCTCAATTTTGGTCTGACAGGCATTCCTCTTTGATCAGTCTCGATTGTTGGTTTTGGGTGCCAAATACTCCCTCACCTATATGCTCAAGGTTAGCAACAACAGTCCTGTTGATAGCATGTACCCTTCACATGATAAGAGTGGTACTCTACATCTGTGGTTTCTACTTTTCAAGAAAAAAATTCTGTGCGAAAGTAGTATTATTCTCTATGAATTCATAAATCTGTAACATATATTTGATAACACAGAGGGATTTAGATATGTAGTACAGTAGGAGTCATTTTGCCCCTCAATACGAAAATAAAATATTCCTATTTGAAGTTTTGAGTATGTGAGTTTTTAAGTTAGAAATTATTGATCTTTGCTGACATCACAGAGGTAAAATACATTTTGGGTGAGTAGATTAGTAAAACATAAAGATTAATTTTTTATTGTTTTAATTTTTCTTCTGGCTCTTAGGAAGACCAAAATATTTTTGTGCAGAATGCATAAAGCTGCCTTATCTGTCAACCTTGTCATAGATTTTAAGGGATTTCTGCATATGAATGACAGCATTAATGTGTACTATGAATTAAAGCAAGTGCATATTCATTATTCAGTTGATTGCAGAAAAAAACTCCAATCTATTCATTGAAAATCCAAAGGACAACAAACTGGTAGAGAAATTTCTGCCATTTATAAAAATTGTGATTCTATTATACATATAGCGTTATTTTAGTTCTAAATATTTATGTATGAAACGATATCCTTATCTAAAGTATGTTCAGGTTCTCATAATTTTCTTGCATATAAGAAATGATTATCAACAGCTAAATGTAGGCAATGGATGAGTTTACGGTATGTGGTGTAGGGGAGGGAGTAAATGTGAAAGCTTTTCCTTAAGCCAGGCACAGAAAGACAAGTAGCACATGACCTCATTCACAAGTGGAATATAAATAAAAATTATCTAATTGAAATTGAGAGTAGAATGGTGCTTACCAGAAGCTGAGATGAATAAGAGGAAGGAAGGATGAGGAAAGGCTGGCCAATGGGTACTAAGTTGCTGTTAGAAGCAAGGAGCACTACTATGCTACTGCACAGCACAGAGACTGCAGGTAGCAATGTGCGCTACATGTTTCAAATCACTGTAAGAAAGTGACAAGTATTTGGGGAGCTAGATGTGTTTAAACTGATTGCACAAAGTATATACATACTGAAACCACACAGGGTACATCATTAATATGAATATTTTGTTTTATGTATCAAGTTAAAATCATTTTATTCAGAGTGATTTAAAAGCTTTCCCTGAACATATGTGGGTAAAATAATTCAGTAAATCAGGCTACCACAAGAGAAAAGGAGGCTGATTAACTGTGCATCAGCTGTACCTTATAGGTGAATTTCTGCTAATGTAAAAGTCTTAATCTCTCTTAATGATAACATATGAAGAGGAATAGTGTCCGTCTCCATGTTGGGAATGTTTTTATATCAGATCAGAAGAAAGTAACTAATGAATCACTCTGTTTAAGCATAACTATATTTAATAAATGAAATACATAAAATGCACATTTATACATACATAAATGTAGATATGTATGCATATATAAACACATATATGCTCATTTAAAATCTCAAACTAAGTACCATTTCACTTTCCTAATTAATAACTACTGTTCTCATTAACTGAACATCTGTCAAAGCAATAGAAGTGAGGAAGGCACTTTAGAAATGATACTAATTACTATGTAAAACTCCCTCTCTGGAAGAATCTGCCACTCACACAGTTATGAAGAGTCCATTAGTTATGTTGTGCTTCTTAAATATGAGTCTACCCTTCAAACTCAGGAAACCAAGGGCAAAAAGAAAAAGTAAAGGTACCAAAACTTTTACAGTATTAATAAATTCCTTTTTCCTTAATTTCTCTAAAAATATATTTGTCTGTCTAGTACACTTAAAAGATTTAAGTGATAAATAATCAGATTTTAGGTCATTTGGAAAGGAAAACAGATGAGAGAGACAGAGACAGAACCAGAGTTTGTGCTCCCTAGAAGGGAAACCACTTTAAGACTTGGTTGGCTTTCCTTATACGTCTGCTTTTTATTTTTAAACACTACCACCTCTTTGCTGACCAACATTTTCTTGCAAATTATGGCCAGGAGGGAGGAGCATGAGCAAAGGAGCTTGGTGAAAGTTAGTGATACTCCCTGCCAAAATTCCAAGTTGAAATTGTACCCTTCAGTAAAGGCTCTTAGGTATGGGGAAAAAAAAAATGATTTACAACTTCAACAGAACTGTAATTCTACCAAGAAAAAGCATGTCAGCCTACTTTGCTGTCACTAAAGAATCTGAGGCTGGCTTTGTCATACTTCTTTCTCCTTTATATACGGAGGTGGAAAAAAAAAGTAAGAGGAGTTTAAAAACATTGATGAAGCTCTTGACCCTGTGGATTCCATTTATAGTCTGAGCCGGAATGCCATCCCCCTCGCCTGGTGAACTGTCCAATCCAGCCACAAGTGTCAAGGTTCTATTAGGCACTAAGTGAAATATATATGCATGCCCTTATACCATTTAACACTCGGGTCCACCTTCAAGACACTGGGCTGCGGATCAAGCAAACCACCACTCCTCTTCCAAGTATCATTTTGACAGGTTCTTTTGGAGGAGTTCCTTCTTTGTTTAACCGATCCTTTTAATCAAAATGGCACCAAAGAAAGACGTGAAGAAACCTGCTGCTGCCCCAGCCCCAGCACCTGCACCTGCACCTGCACCTGCACCTGCCCCAGCCAAACCCAAAGAAGAAAAAATTGATCTCTCTTCCATTAAGGTAACTAAATGGATGAACTGTTTGGTCACTGAAACAACTTTCAACAGTAGGGAACTCTAGGAACTTGCAAATAGGGTACATTTGGAAGAAAATAACACTTTAAAATATATAAACTGTAGAATAAAATTTCAGTAAAATTATTGAGAGTGTAATATCATATGTGGAACCTGTGACTGTTCTATTTTTTGTTTTTGTTTTTGTTTTTGTGGTTCTGAAGATTTCCTTTCTCCCTAAATTATCAAACTGCAACTTAATGGAAAGTATATAATTGTGATGGTGTTGCATATATAAATAGTTAAACCAATATTTTTTTAAATGGAATCTCTATATAAGCTGGATTTCTTACCTTAAGACTATACCAAAAGGGAAGTTTTAGCCTTTGCTTCTTTCAGAAGTAAAGTCAGGTGATGACCCAGTTGTCTGGAAAGTATTTATTTGATAGCTGCTTTATTTAAGCTGAGAAAGAGAAGATTTTTGCAATTCAAGTTAATTCTTCCTTTAGTTTTGCTTTAATAAAATGTGATACAGTAAATGAGATTTCTGTGCAGAAAATTGTGCACTCAAGTGTTTCAATGACTATAACTGTCATCTCTTTTATTTATATGCAATATTTTTATATGCAGTATTTAATTCTGAATTTGTGAGTTGCTTCTAAATGAAACTAACCCAAAATGTTATAAAATGTGTTGGTTATATATATGGCTTTTAGCATACATCTTTGAGCTTTTACATACTGATCTTGAACTAAGGAGAATGTGATTGATTTTTGTGTCACCACTTTGCAGTGATCAAGGTTTTCAGCTGCCAAAAGTTTATCTACTTTTGGAAAAATGTTACTTCTCACTGATGTGACTCAAATGCAAGTCTTCTTCTCATCCACTAGGCTCTGATTGGTCCAAATGACAGTTTGAAAATCTTCATCTAAAGAACCCTACCTTATATGGAAAATTAATGAGTGAGAGTGCCTATGAGGTGATCTTTTCACAAGCCAAAAGTTCTCTCTACATACAATGAATCTGAATTTTGCTAACTTAACAATGTTTACTTGAATCTATAATACTGACTTATAAATAAATATTGCATTAGCCATTTTAGTATAGTCCTAGGTTTTCAAAGTGTGCCTGAAATACTGCATTAGATTATTCTTAGATATGATGAAACAGATACATTCATATTTTATATTCCAGTTAAATATGAAAATTTCTATTTCTAACCTAGAATATATTACCACAAATATTTAATCTTAGTTTTTAGGTACCTGAAGTCACACTTGAAAAAAACTGATCATAGAATCAAATAAGTGGTTAGGAACAATTGTAAGCAAATATCCATTTAGGAGAAGAAATGCATGTCACATCATATAATGAATATTTTTTTACCTTGAGGACTGCATGCATACAGTTAATTAAGAGGAACCAAATTCATCTCCAGCAATTCTAGTTAATATATCTTTATAGATACACACTGACTACATAATCTAACAAGTGTGATTATCCTTACTACAATAATTATGATTGTACCTATTTTTTAATTCTCTACTTCATAGCAACATTTGAGATATGAATCAATGTCAAAGCTATTCTTCCTTATATTTACTGTGATTTATAGACAGTAGCATCTCTGTATCTGAGATGATAAATTTCTGTAAAAGAAAAAAATGTATGTTCCTTAATAGGAATAAAATTAAGTATCTCACTAACGAAAACAGGCATTATTTTCCTTCCCAAGGAATGGTGTAAGAACATTTAAATGAATAAAAATTTAATTTAGCAAGTGAGAATCCTCTAAGAAAAAACACAACATCACTTTGATGATTCACAAACTAAGCCATTTCCTTGTTATAGTCAGAAAAAGTGACTTTTCTGAATACTAAAAATCTGTTTATCCTTCCATCTCTATGTTGAATTAATGTTAGCATGAATCAGGACAACTAAGAAGGAAATATAACAAGAGAGTCACTGTAACAGTGTGCGATGCTCCTTCACCATTATTTCATTGTCCAGCAAAAGATGTAGTAGATTCTGATAAGGAACATAACACAAAAGGAACAGTTACACGAATCTTGAAAAAATGAGAGAAAATTAACATTTTTTTTTTATTTTCACAAAAAGTTTATTCTCTTAAATGCAATGCATTCACAGGGTGTTAACATTCTAAATGTTCATCATTTCCACCAACTGCAGCGTTATCTAAGTAAACCAAAATCACTTTTACCATAGATATAGCCAAGGATTATTAATTTTTTAAAGGACATAAATTCCAAAATTTTAGCACAGGTAGTTTTATTGTATGTTTCATCTCGTAGATGATTTTTAAAAATAGTGTGTAGAGATGAATAGTTTCAAACTATGTAAATATATTATGCCACGTTATCAATCCACTAAACCAAAAGCAACTGCCAAGCTGAGTAAGTTACAAAGAAATAATAATTCTGGCTCGAACAGAAATGTGCCGTGTTTTCAAAGCTCTTAACAGTTACCCCACTAATACAAATCTTCAAAGTTTAAACCTTTATCTTTAATTCAGAGGCCTCATACCTAATGGAAAGAGAAACAAAGAAAAGAAATAAAACTGTCCTATTTTTGTAAAGGAATTAAAGTGACTTCAATGACTTGCTTTCATCAATATGCAACCAGTGCTTACTTGGAAGTATTCTAACATCCAAAGAATATGACGAAACTCAAGAATTTTATACAATTTGATTTCATCCCAGTAGGTAACAGAATTAATTAAAAAGTACATTAAAACATTTTATATTATGTTTTTAATCACTTCATGATGGTTTTAGATATATTACCTCATATAAGTTATAAACTATTTTCAAGCAGAGAAGATGAACTTTAACAAAATTAATAGAGCCATTACATGTGTTCATTAATGGCCTGAAAACTGAAGAACAAAGTTTAACTGAATTATAAACTTGTATAAATCACAAAAGATTAGAAATCTGGCTGTCCTTTAAACTTTGAAAAATGCTGGAGCTTAAGTATAATTATTTTTATGTAATGTACAGAAATGGTAAAATTTAATTCCTCGATAGTATTCCCATTTAAGACCTATGGTTTGTCTTTAAATATACCACATTTAATAGCCACATATTTGATTCCCTACAAATGCTGAACACTAGGATACTAATTGCTTGTACCAGTTCTTAAATGTGCATCCCAATATAATTTCCTAATTTGTTAGTTATTTGTTTAGAGTATTTCCTCAATTTTTGTGACACAAAACCTTCAATTTTCCCTGAGGGAATGCTTACCTGATGTCTTACACCCATAGACTTTTCTGAGTTTCCTTTTCAAAAACAAACTTCTGCTGATATTTGAACATTAAATTTACTGTCATTGGTGGTTGAAAGCATCCTTTGCTTTCAGAGAGCTGAGACAGCAGAAATGGCCAGCCTAAAAGAACAATGAAAAAATTAAAAGCCAACATAAGTGTGGCTGTGAATGCAAACATAGGAATAAGTATTAGTTGTGACCAAGTGAAACAATGAAAATGAAATACATAGGACACACATGTGTAAATCTGAATAGTTTCTCTAGCGTGAGAAACAAAGTGTAAATGAGGATCACACTGTATAATAGATAATGTGAAACAGGAAAAAGAGGTCCGAAGGGAAAGGGGAAGGGGAGGGGAAGAGAATAGGAGGGGTCGGGGAAGGGAAAGCATAAATATGAGAAAAGGAGAAAACAGAAACAGTCTTTGTAAATAGGGAGAGGTAGAGGGGTTGAAGGGAGGGCAGGGGAATGGGGAAAAAATAAGAACCAAGCTATATCATGTAAAGGCACAAATTACCAATGATGAATGTCATCATCTTGTATACCTAAAGCGTACCAATAAACTTAATGAAAAAAAAAAAGAAATGATTTTTTAAAAAATCTTCAATACGGAAGTGCTACTATTTTGCATGATGCATGTGTCAGCTAATACATCAAGATTGCTGTGAGGTGGGAACTTTGTAATCTCTCTTCTTGTGGTACTTAAATGTTAATTCTCATTGTATTCATCATTCAGTCAGGTCATACTGCAGGCAACAAAACAAAAGTGGCAATGGTACAAAATGCATTGACAGAAACTCTACCAAAACACATTGTAAAGCAACAACAGACAATGTGCTTGAGGTTTGAGCAGACTTAAACTTTCAATGTAATAACCAAGGTGGGTCTCTCTATGAGTCCAAGTACTCAGGGAACACAGATAGTTGTATATGCATCATGATTTGCTTTAGCCCACATCAGAAAATTTGTTTGTGTTAACCTATAATTATTTTTAACAACATTCATTGTGAACTTATTCTTAATTATCTTAATTAATGCTCACAACATTACAGTGAATCGTGCCAGTATCCTCATTTTTTTAAGTAAAGAAACTAAGCCTAAACAATGCTATGATCTAATAACTAGTTAGGTGACAAAGGTAGAATTAACTTAGTAGATCAAATCAAGTGGAGGGGATGTCCATGTCCTAAGCTACTTTTGGTTTCTAAAGAGTACGCTGCTTTCTCTAAGAAAGTGTAAAGGAGCCTTTTTTGGCTCTCAAAAACATCGGGTAGCCATTCTAGCATTACCTTGCAAAGTCCTGTGTGGCCAGAAGAGGGAGTGACAGGCACACATCAGCAAACTCACCAAGACTTAATGGCCTTTCATTCTCCACAGCTTCCTCTTATCCAACAACCTGATGCTGACAAGTTAGGTGTTCTCTTTTATAGAAGGAGGGGTGAAATCTTCAGAACTAGATGGTCTCCTAGTCACTTCCAACTTCCTATATGAAGGTATAAAATACTGTTTAATTGCAACATTAAAATACTGTTAAATGCAACAAAGCATTGAACTTAAAAATGATTCTTTTTTTGTTTTATTAAAAACTCTTATGCATCCAGCCTGACTTTCAAGTCTCCCCATCAGGCCAATATTCTGAGAAGAGTATGATATTTCTATTCTACTTACAAGTAATCCACGATTTAAATGGAAATTCCAATTAATATTCTTTAGAATAATATGCAGAAATGCTATGCCACTTGAATAACATGGTTAAATCTTAACCTTAACTAGTTTGAGGAAAAGAACTAAACAAAGAATGTTAATTTTTACTTGGAAAAATAAATGAAAACATTGTTAAGTTTTCTTTATAGACGTTTATTTTCTTTTACTCTGGCCTTTCAGTAGTACAAATTAATTTCTAATACAACGTTAATGACAACCAATTGCACTATTTACTCATTTGTAGTGTAACCTCACAAACCAAAAATTATTTGGGTCTAGTGCTAGATATCAGTATTCATCTTTCATGTACCTACACTGTAAAAGAAGAAAACGGGTGGGGTGGAAGGGAAGACACTCCAGGGCATTTTGTAACTTTCCCTAGAATTACATTTTTAATTATAGGTAACTGAATAATATCTTTACAAAGTAAAATGCAGTTCACAAAGAAAGATGTATGTTCATCAACCAATAGTAGTAAATAATACTGTTCATTTGAAAGATGGATGAATTCTTTGCAAGACAAGGAGACCACGAAGTGATACAGCCAAATTTAGCTCTTGACATTTCCGTGCTGCAAATGAACCCCCTGGCGAGTTGTCTTTAGAAGTTGTTCCATAATTACACAGTATTAAGCACCATCTGACTCATGGAAATTGTGGAAAGGATTATATTTAGTCTGCTGATACTACACTTTCTCCTGCTTCTCTTCAGACCAAAATGCTTTTTATGTGAAAATAGGGTCTTATATGATTTATTTCTACATTAACTTTCAGTCTGTTTTTACCCCAAACCAGTATTTGAAGGGCAAACATTATAAAAGTAGGAATGGATTCAATTATACCAGTTAAAATTAAAATTATATTGGTGATAAATCCTGGCTATTCTGATCATAAACTAAAAATAATGAGTTTAAATCAGGGCAGAAAAGTTTTCATAAAGGCAAAACCATATCTAACCAACCCTGTATTCTTTCCTTCTATTGTGGAGAGTGAGGTGCATTTTACTGACCAGCTGCCTACTGGTACACTGTCTCCTGTTTATAAAAGTCCACCTGATTTGAACATGGTCCTATAAAATTGTATTTTACTTAACTTTTCTTTATCTGAACTACTTCAAAATGACTTTATCCACTGAAATTTTAGGCATTTTGTTGCCATTTTCCATGACAAAAAGTGAGTGGAGGTAGGGTCTACTGACAAAGGGATGAAAGTTCACAGTACTGTAGACCCCCAAACAACCCTAGAAATCATAATACTTGATACTACATATGGAGGAAAAATAATCCAGAGAAGTTACTTAACCAAAAGACACATGATTGGTTATAAGAGCAAGAACAAAATTTCCAGCCTATTTTCCTTTCTACCTCATCAAAACACTCATGTCTAGAATGGTAATATATTCACATATTCCTTTTGTTATAGAAAGGACTTTTATTCTAGACAAGAAGGAAAAATAAGATACAACTATACAAAATTTCTCTAATGCTTACATTTTAAAATGACAAGACAATGGAATAAAAATACATTTGATTTTTAAGAAATTAAACGCAAACAAATGAACACAGGAAAAAAAGCACAACTTTTATGGGACCTTAAAATTTCTTTATTAATTTTATGAACCATGCACAAGCTAAAGAGAATACTGAAAAAGAATAGAGTTGGATCACATTTTAAATTTTTTATTAAAATTCACTTAGATGTCTACTAATCGTATTTCTAAATTTTATTATTTTTAACTATTCAGCCATTGCTCTCAGGTGACTGAATTTTGCCAAATAGTTCAGGCCTAATAAGAACACAACTATGCATTTTTTCTCAGTTCAGATCAACTTCTCCTACCCAATCTTCTATGTCTCTTGGTTCAGAGATAATGGGTCAATACTACGCTCTCATTTTTCTGAATTTTCCCTGTTTATTACACTAACCAACCTAAGCACAGACTTTTTTGACAATTAAAACAAAGGAAAGATATGCCTTTCCTTTGACTTGAGTTATTCTGTAGCACAAAATTCTAAGGGTTACAAAATAGTACTTCTACTGATCTTGTACAGTGGGTTCTCAGTGAGATTGTAATGAAATTGATTTTTTTCCCCCTAAGGGCTTACTTATAAATACATCTAGACCTTGAGTCTTTCTGCAGGCACCAATGTTCTCCTGATAGAAACCTGGCCCTGATTAGGTTAGCTTCACCTAGCTTTACCAGACCTTAATCCCCCATTACACCCCAGGTCGATGAAGTTCTTTGAAGACCGTACTGTAGTCCATGTTCCTTCCTAGGCTATCTTCCTCCAATACTGAACACCATGTATTTCCCAGATTATTTTAATTATGGCTCTTCTTCTTTGTTCCAAAGCTTAACAAACATCAATTTCAGAGTCTGTTAAATGAATTACACTTTTATATTTTTCCTATAAATAAATTACTGCATAGAAGAAACTTTATCTTATTTTAATCAGTTAACCAAAGTTCATGATCAGTAGAAAAATGATTCCCAAAGTATAAAAAAAACTCCATAAACATTACAATAAAAATTCTTTTTAGCATCAGTAATGTGTAGACTATTAACTAAATCCAAAACCAAAATGATTATATATCAGTAATAAAAATATGGAACGTAGCCTTCTATTAACAGTCTATATAAAAATGTAGGCTGGAATAAGAAAAAGTCCTTAAAAAATAAATCGAAGGTTGGCAAATTTAATATCTGGATCATAAATACTTATATAAAATCTAAGGGGAGGTACTGGAAATATAAAGGTATACATATCAGTATTTCAAGATGAGCATGCTAGGCAGTTCGAAGTCTTAGAAAATGCAGCATAGAAAGAGAATGCATGCAATTGCTCCATGATATAAGCTCTTGAAAAGAATAGATGAAGTCTCTGTCCTAGGAGAATTTAATATTATAGAAGGGAAACTAATGTTTGAAGGACGAGTTTATGAGTCTTCTGTTCAAAAAGTTATAGTTGAATAAAACTCTATTGTGCATCTAATATAGGTGAGTTATCCTGTAGAGTTAAAAGATATAACACCTAACAACAAGGCAGGACTTGAGATGGGGCAGTTAGAGCAGGAACACACTCAAGTCCACTTCAGGAATAAATGGTCTTCAGGAATGGCAATGCTCCCCAGAAGGTCAGACAGGATGGTTAAACAACTTATAGAGGGAGAAAGGAGCTGCAAGAGTTATAGAGAGGAAAAGGTTCTTTCAAGAACAGGAGGGTTTTAGCAGAAATTTGAAGAATATTTCATTAATAAAACAAAAAAATAGGAGAGCCTGCCAGACAGATTAGAGATAAGCCAATTTTTTTAAAATAGCGTAACAATCTTAGGCCCAAATTAACTTACATATTTTCATATCTTGGCTTTCTTCAAAGGACTTGCTACCTACCATAACCTCATGGAGGAGATGGCAGTAGGTTTTGTCATTTACAAAAGTGTACTAGGAATAAATTTCATTTCCCATTTATTCTATGAACACAGATTCTTGGCTTTCTAACTTTTGAACAATTGTTTATTCCCTAAACCACAGATGATGAACCTTTTGGAGCTTTCAATGATACAAATGGCTTGGTGGGGCATGCATGCCGTAAATTCACCACCACTGCTCTAGACTGAGCTATAATGTAGTCTTCCTAGTTGTCAAATAACATAGTCAAATTTCTATTTTGATTCTCAGTAGGTTAAAAATAATCTAAACATTCCTTCTCTATATAATAACAATATGGAGAAAGACTATAGTGAAATAATTTGACATTTGCCTATGACTTTATCACTACTCCTTGAATTTCATTTGATATCCCAATGACTAGAAATGGGTTTTTTTTAATAACATAAATACAAATTTTAAATGACTTTCTATTTTACCCAACAAACTTTATTCAAATTGACTATATATGTATACAAGGACTCACTTTTCTACCTGAAGAAAAGAATAAAATAGTAAAATGACTGTTATCTTTACTAAGGTAACTTTGATGTTTAATTCAGCTTTCCTGAAGATATACCCTAGTTCTCAGTGATAGTCAAAAAGCAGTTCAAATTAAATGACACAATTACACAAATATAATTACAAAACTTTAAAAAAGCACAAAATAGGCTCTTCTAATAGCTTTAATTTGTATATCAAAAGTCAAGATGTTCCAATTACAAAAATTACAAATTTCCACTGTTTTGTTCCCCACCATTTCCCCTTAATAATTCAAAGAATTTTTAGTTTTTCTATTTACTTTCATTTCTTAATAACTTTTTAAAATCACATTATACTGCCTCACAAGCAAAAGGACCCAAGTTCGATCCCCGGTACCCCCCCAAAAAAAAGAATTTAAAAAAATAACAATAAAATAAAATCACATTATGTTTATGAAAATGTGTTACCTATGTACAAATAATTTTAAAACTATATTTTGAATCCTCATCTTAGGATGCACGATTCTATGAGATCTTTTCATATCCTGTAAAATTTGAGCCAAGAACAACAAACATTTAAATGTTGATATCTTGTAAAATGGTTTGAAGAGAAGCTTTACGGTGACTTTTTCGTAAGAAAGATGCTTTTTATGACCATCTATCTTCAAAACAGTTGCCATAACATACTTAAACTACAATTCATCTCCAACATACTTTGTGCCTGTGAACTGCTTTAAAAAATGTAGAAAATGATAAAGATTTTTCTGAACTTCAGTGGCCCTAGGGCTGATCTTTTTACTACTGCTTTTCCCAATACCACAGGAAGGGAATGTCCCCCTATTCTCAAATAAGCTGCCATGAAAATTCATAG